CCTCCTCGTTGTTTCCTCATCGTTTCCCTGTCGTTACATCGTCATGGTCTTCTTCCTCCTTTCTCCTCCTCCTTCCGCCTCCTTCCGCCTCCTCGACAACTTCTTCTTTCTCCTGCCCCTCCTCCTCCTCCTCCTGGACCACGTCTTTGTCCTCCTCCTACTCCTCCACATCTTTCTCCTCCCCCTCCTCCCGATCGTCCTCCACGTCTTCCTTCTCCTTGTCCTCCTCCTTGTCTTCTTTGTCCACCCTCCTCTCGTCTTCTTTGTTCTCGTCCTCGTCCTTGTCCTCCTTGTCTTCTTTGTCCTCATCCTCCTCCTCATCTTCGTCCTCCTCTTCTTCGTCATCCTCCCCCTCCTCCTCCTCCTCTTCGTCTTTCTCCCGCTCCTCCACGTCTTCTTCCTCCTCCTCCACGTCCTTTTCCTTCTCCTCCTCCTCGCCTAGGTCCTCGTCATCTACTTGTTGTAACCTCCTGCCCCCCACTTCTGCCCATAATGTCGCACCTTTTTTTTTTTCCCCCCGCGCCTTGGTCGTCGTTCTCTTCGTGCTCCCCGTCAATACCATCAGCTTCGTCTTCGTCCTCCTCTTTGCCCTCCCCACCCTTGTCCTCGTCTTCGTCCTCCTCCTGGACGTCTTCGTCCTCCGCCCACTCCTTCTCCACGTCTCTTCGTCCTCGTCCTCGCCCTCCTACACATCTTCGTCCTTCTCCCCCTCCTCCTCCTCCTCGCCTTGGTCCTTGTCATTTACTTGTAACCTCCCAACCCTCACTTCTGCCCGTGCCATGTGGCGTCCTCCCCGATCTTGGTCGTCGTTCTCATCGTGCTCCCCATCAATATCATCAACTTCTTCATCTTCATCCTCCTCCTCTTCGTCCCCCTCCCCTCGTCCTCCTCGTCTTCTTCTTCCTCCTCGACGTCTTTGTCCTCCTCCTACGCCTCCTCATATTCGTCCTCCTCCCCATCCTCATCCTCCTCATCTTCTTCGTCCTCCCCCTCGTTCGCCTCCTCGTCTTCATCCTCCTCGTCCTCCTCGTCTTCGTCTCCGCCTCGTCCTCCTCGTCTTTATCCTCCTCATCTTCGTCCTCCTCCCCCATGTCTTCGTCCTTCTCCCCCTCCTCCTCGCCTTCGTCCTTTTCAACTACCTGCTGTTAACCTCCCACCCCCGCTTCTACCCGTGCTACATGGCGCCATTTTTTTTTTCTTTCAAGGATGTTTGTCGTCGTTCTTCTCGTGCTCCCTGTCAATATCATCAGCTTTGCCTTCATCGTCGTCCTCCTCCTCCTCGTCGCCCTCCTCCCCCTCTTCCTCCTCGGCTTCATCCTCCTCGACGTCTGCGTCCTCCTCTCGCTGGTCCTCCACATCTTCCTCCTCCCCATCCTCCACGTCTTCATCCTTCTCCACTCCCCCTACTCCACCTTCTCCCCCTCCTCCCCCTCCTTCACCTATTCATCCTCGTTCTCCCACTCATCCTCCTCCACATTTTTGTCCTTCTCCCCCTGTCCTCCACGTCTTCGTCCTTCTCCTCTCCCCCTCCTCCACCTATTCATCCTCCTCCCGCTCGTCCTTCTTCTCCACGTCTTTGTCCTTTTCCCCCTCCTCCTCCTCGACTTGGTCCTCGCCATATTCTTGCTTTGACTTTCCCAACACCGATCTTGCCCATGCTACATGACACCTTATTTGTCTCCCCCCCCCCCCCCTCCCCCCCGATCTCGCTCCTCTTCTCCCCATCATCATGATCAGCTGTCAATGTCTTTGTCCCATTCTACCTCCTCCTCCTCCTCCTCCTCGTTTTGATCCTCGTCGTCCACTTCTCTACGAAACCCCCCCCCTCCCCCCCCCTTTGCTTCTTTTCGCTCTTCCTCGTCCATCTTCTTCGTCATCCTTCTTCATCCATCGTCCTCGTCCTCCCTCCTCCTCATCGGCCTCCACTTCTACTTTTCCACCTCGTTGTCCTCCTCCCCCCCGACTGAAGACTGCCACTTATACTCCACCTCCTTTCTACCCCACCCTTGCTACTCTCTTGCCGCCCTTTTCTGGTTTGCTAATTAACTTACGATTCGTTTTCAGCTTTTGAAGTTCGAACTCGCAGTCTGCAGTTGTGGTGCTATTGTCGTTGGTAGATCAAAGTTTGTCTTTTATGATCTACCATGTCGGTAGACTCAGTACATTAGTAGAGAACCCATAGTGCTTGTCCAATCAATGAATCTGCAATGAACCCAATCAGGAGATGTTCGTCAATGTCGAGATACACAATGTCTAAGCGCAAAATCAATGCCACCAAAATCGTACATGGAACCATACTTGTCATTTAAGTATCTCAATGTCTCCTAACCAGAGAAGAAGATAAGGGGAGGGAGATGAGGCTTGGGGTGGAAGAGAGAGTATCCATCATCACTGTCGCCAAAGCTCCCTCGCAAGCCCACTTCCTTTCTAGGCACCTCCCCCCTCGCCACGCCAGCAAACAGTCTTCCTTGACAAGACCTGACAATAAGCAGATTCCAGCATGTCGCCCATCCCCCAACCACGTCAACAATCAGCCTAGGAGGATGGCGCCGGCTTCTCTCTGAAGACATACAACAAAGCGCCACGTCGACTTGATCGCAATCAGGTAACCTTCCCTCTCTCAATCAACCATTCTCACGGCCCTGATCCTCCTCCTCCTCCCCCGTACTCCATCAATCTCGTAATCAGTGTGGCAAGAGCCACGTCAGCATAAACAAGTGCTCAACTGGCGCCGTAATCAGAGAATGGCGCCATCATAAAGCTTTGGCAATCTTGCATTGTCGCACAGGCGTTGAGCCAGCGTCAAGCAGCAAGTGCAAGACTGAATGTCGTCCAGCAGGGCTGGGTCAACCTTATGTTCACTAACATTGACCAGCCTCTAGTCTCTCGGACGATGGCCCAGATCGTCTGTTAGCCAATGGCCTCGATCTCGTACAATTGCAGATTTCCACTTGGTCTTGATTCCTTCCGGATACCTGTAGACAGCGTCAAGCAGAAAGTGCAAGACTGAATGTCGTCCAGCAGGGCTGGGTCAACCTTATGTTCACTAATGTTGACCATCCTCTGGTCTCTCGGACGATGGCCCAGATCGTCTGTTAGCCAATGGCCTCGATCTTGTACAATTGCAGATTTCCACTTGGTCTTGATTCCTTCCGGATACCTCAGACAACCGAAGGTGTGTGTCTCATCTACGACCAAGGCTAGATTCATGTTGACTTTGACTCGTGGGCCTGAATTCACGAGCTGAGGTTGACTGTCGACTTTCCCAAGGTCAACTATCTCTGAAGGCCAGTTTTGGCCTTGCCTTCGCTACCCCACAGCAGCAGGCCTTCGGGCAGGCATTTTCATGACTTGGGCGTGACCTTTGACCCCCATTTCGCGCCTTTGACAGCCCACAGCTGGTGCATATTTGAGCTGAGTCGTTGCAAATCAATCAATCAATCAAGTGATCAATCAATCAATTGCTCGATCCCTGTATGAACACGAGGATCGATCGATTGATTGATTGATTGATTGATTGATTGACCGATTAATTGATTGATGGATCGATTGATTGATTGATTGACTTATTAATTGATTAATTGATTGATTAATTGATTGATTGATCAATTGATTGATCAATCGATCGATTGATCGGTGTCGTTGATCTCAACCATGGTTCTCTTAGCTTGCATTTCGACCCCATGGGCGTGGAGAAATACATCAAATTTTCTATTTGAAGTTCTATTACGATTGGACGACATGTCATGATTCGAACTTCTGCTGCAATTCATTTCAACCCCATGGGGGGTGGGGAAATGCTGTCAATTTTTTGGCTGATTAATTGTCGAGCTTAATTTATTGATAGAGGGAGACAGAGAGACAGAAAGACAGGGAGAGAGAGACAGGCACAGACTCAGACAACATTCAATTTGATTCTCGTGTTGTTTGATTGGGTGGTTCTCATTGTCCGCAGGATTCCTAAAGGAGGTGCAGGCGCCATTAAGCAGCATTTCGCGCAGCTCAAGCCTGTGGGCGCTGCGGACAAGGCAACCACAGATGGAAGTGCAGGTACTGCAAACATGACTTCCTCGACATGGTGAATTGTTGCACAAAGCACTTCATGTCTACGACAAAGAGGCCAAGATGTAACATGGTGAGGGTGAGCGGTAGACTGTCGACGGAGGAGAAAGGGGAGAGAGTTGGGCCAACTTGAGGCCATTGCTCTGGCCTTAGGAAAGCGGCAAGCTCATGACGATGTTGACGAATTTGACGACTGTCGTTCACAAGAGAGGGGGTGTGGACGAGCAGGCTGTGCGGGAGGAAAACAAGTGCAATAGCCCAATCTAAGAGGGCCTTTACCGATGTAGGCCTCAGGCCTTGTAAAAGTAAAGCAGTGTGGGCCTTGCAAAAGTAAAGCAACGTGAAAAGGTATCTCGCCAGAGCTCATAAACGTGAAAGCAGGTCAAAAGTCAGGTTCTCTATCAACGGGCACATCCAAATCTAAAGCAAAGGGGCATTATCAAGAGACTTACCTGTTCACTCGAAGGTGTGCATGTCATGTCTGTTTGGGTAAGGGTGTGTCTGTACGTACAGACAGTGTACCTGTTCGTGCAAAGGAAAGTGTCTGTTCAGGCAATGAATGTGTCTCTTCGTCTAGAGTTGTGCCTATTCGAAAGTAAAGTCAATAAGTACAGTCCCAGTTATGGTCTAAGTCAAGGGGTCAGTCCAGATCCAGACTTTCAAGTCCAAATTCAGGCCGAAGTGCCTCAGCAGCAGTTGAACTTCATTGGGAATGCAATGCAGGGTCTGGGACAAAGGAAAGGCCGAATTGAGCCAATGCAGACCCAGCGAGGAGTGGCCAGGACTTGTGCGCTACGTCAGTAGGAGCAGCGCTGGAGGAAGACGATGCGCTGAGTGAGGGAAGAAGCCTATACGCTGGAAGTGATGCAGCCATAGCTGCCCAACGAGTTAGTGTTAGTAGTAGAGGGTTAGTAGTAGACAACTATGAGTAGTATTTAGAGTAGATCCTCATGAATGAAGAGTGTGTATGCATCATAGGAGGAAGGGACCGAGGCAGAGAGTGTTCATTCAAGGTGTGGCTATGGAGGATACTTACCTAAGTTGAATGTGATCTGCAGAGGTGGCGCTGATGAGTAGTGACCACGTTGATGACTTTTAGACAATCTGCAGATGTAGCGCTGATGCATTGGAGTCATATTGATGAGTTGGCAAGAGATTTGTGTTGCGCTGATGAGCGTTGGACTCAGGGGAACTTTGAACACTTTGTAATCATATTTTTGATAATATAAGCTTGGAAACTCGGTTCTCATCTACCTTTGTCTATTGTGTGAGACTACTGATCATTATGTGCGAGTATGATGCATGACATGTACACTCTTGCGTGAAATGGTCCCCAGGACCCATGCAAATCTATGCAGCCAAACAGCATGCGTTCATCCAACGGCCGGGTGTGGCAAACCACGCTCGAAGAGGGTGAAAAAATCGTGTCAAAGAACGAAGAAGCCCCACGGTCAATTGATGATTGGTTTGTGTTTGACGATTGTCGTTCACAAGAGAGGGGGCGTGGACGAGCAGGCTGTGCGGGAGGAAAACAAGTGCAATAGCCCAATCTCTACAGCCAAACAGCGTACGTTCATCCAACAGCCAGATGCGGCAAATCACGCTCGAAGAGGGTGGGAAAATCGTGTCAAAGAACGAAGCAGCCCAACGGTCAATTTATGATTGGTTGGTGTTTGATCGAGTCCCATTCACTATGGTGTGCAACAAATACTTCTTGCGGATGTTGCAAAAGGTTTGCGAAGCCGATCAGTCCTTCATCCCTGCGAATACAATGTGCAACGAACAAAGGACCTCAGCGACGCACTTGTGGCGCAGGGAGTCGCGTGGCAACAAAAATGATGGGCGAGCACAGGCTGCATGCTCCAACTAGATGGGTGGACTGATCGGCGAGGACGACCACACTTGAATGTGATGGTCTCCTTTCTGACCGGTGTCGTTTTTTGAAAATCCCACTGCATATCGAGAAAGGGGAAAGGGTCAGAGTCAGTAATCGCTTCGGCAGCCCCAACCTTGTCCTTGCAGTCCGTCTGTGACTCATTTCATGGGGCTGCGGCCTGGTGGTCCCGACGTGCAATCTGGTAATTGGGGTGCCTGTGCAACTAGCGACCACATGTTACCTTGTGTTTGGTGTCGTGACTCGTGATCGACACCGGACCTTCAACATTATGTCGTAGTCAATGACCGAGGTTGGTGAGAAAGTTGTGGTCGGTGTATTCATGGACAATGAGGCCGTGGGTGCAAAAGAGCAGGCAGGCTGGTGGAGGCCACATTTCCCACCATCTTTCATGTATCGTGCGCAGCACATAGCTTGGACCTCATGCTGCACAACATCGGGCGGACAGATTGGGTGAACGAGGTTGTAGGAAAGGGCAATGAC